ATTAATGAATGATATTTCTTTAGCTGGGACACATTTTACCTGTAAACCGGAGTAATTAAAACTACCGTGAAAGTAATTGAAAAGGATCAAAAGTTGTAAAGTTTGCTAGGTTGCAAAGTTAATTAAAAGCACGGCTAATATTCTGACCAAATTATGGAGGAGTAGTTATACAGAGCGACTACTACACCGGACTGATAAGTTGCCAAAGAGGACGAAACAGCACTGTCTGAGAACGGTCTAGTCTTGGCTATAGAGATCACAATGATACATTCTCTGTTATTTATATTAACAATGACAGCGGCCAGCGGCCAGCGGCTGCATCAGATATAGATATACGGTACACGAAGATTATCGAGAAGTTGCGATGCAGGTGTGAATGTTCCTTAACGCGGTAGGGTCTGCCTTAAACAGCATGTTGCTGTAACGATAAATTCTCCAATTTGGGAATACTCGCACAGCTGAGGCACTTTGCATAAGTTCACTTTCGACACAAAGGCAAAGGCAACATGCTTAATTAACTAAATTTTAGCTGGAATTTTCAAGGGATTCTACTTTTAATTCTTATGCACAACCGCAGATTTGCATTTTACAGGAAGCTTTTGCATTCTGTACAGTTTTGATGAGACCTGAAAATGGAAACAAATTAGATTCTGAGCTGATTAGTTTCCAATAAAACCTCGGATTGTTTGTATTGCCAATCCAGTGTACAATGCTGATTATCAGGCGGCATAGCTGTAGCATTCCAAATAATTCGAGTGGTTTTATCAGCCGCTTCTAGTAGAGTACCGTTGGACGTAAAAACATGGAAACCTCAAAACCCAGATCATGTGAATCAATTTCACTTCTGGTGCCACAACTGGAGACGAAGTATTGTAATTGCGAAAAATTCCAACATGTACATTGTACAGGTACATCACTAAAAACCATGTCACACATTTCCGTCGGTCTGTCTGTCTGTCTGTCGGTCTGTTCGCTAATTTGTATAACTTGAGAAGTACCGCTCGGATTTTTATGAAATTTTCACATAAGGCTGGGATGAAGATGATGAAGTAACTTTTTTTAGTTTTTAAAAATGTGTCTAATGATGGCAGAGATATGGCCAAAAACACGGAAATAGTGAAAACATTGTTTTTTGGCGGTTTCAGCGGCTGCTAATCATCTACTGGTTGAAACTTGGTGCTTGGAGATTGTAGGGGATAGCGGGCTGTATCATTAAGAAGCTTTTGATCTCGCTCACAATGGGAAAATTGAAATAACTGCAATACTGTTGGCGTTGCGTTTTAGCGATCTTTTAATTTGTGGAGTAAGTCTAAGATGGTTCTCTGAATATTTTATCAAGTAGATTGACTCAGTACTTGCGTTGATATACAACAGGCTGATCTGAGTGATTCTATGCACCTGTTAGACATAATAAGTCGCACAACTGCCATGGAACCAGAAATATGATAGATCTACTTTGTATAAGTCGAAGATTCATTGCACCTAAGCGAACCTACCTAATCATGATTAGATTTCGCCTTTTGAAACCTCCAACGAAGGCATAGGAAGTATAGGGTCAGTCTACTTGACTCCATTATTTTGTCTGTACCATCTTTTCTGAGCAAGCACAGAAAGGACTGGTTATGGTTATGTGATTGCCTTAAGTATTAGGATTAAAGGAAGCCGAGAATTATACCTGGATCATACATGAAACTAGAGCCTATACCCCTTATCTAAGCGAGATGACAATTAGTGCGATGCCCTCGAAAATTTGAGCTCGCTGCCAATCTCTAATCGCATTAGTGATATAATTGATTGAATGGATGTTATCGCGGGTATACATTCGCGTTAATATCAATGGGCCAATGTGCCATTGTCCCTGGCTATATTAGGTTATTATATACTCATTGGGTCTAAACAACTTCTATTATCCCTCAATTACAGGTGCAAAATTGAATATGTGTCACAATAGAAATGGGATATGTGCCCGTTGGCGAAGAATGGTATTTATGCCACATATTATGCCTGACGGCTGTACGCGATTGGCTATATACAGGGTGGCGTACATAAAAATACATGGGAAAAGTATAGTGGGACCCCAGCACACACCACGTTTTATTTTTTGTGGACCTGCGTTATGGTTTTTATCGTTTTTCTTTTAAATTTGCCCAGCGACATCTAATTTCAGATTCGTGTTCGGTAGGAAAAATGTATGGAAAATATAGTGGAACTCCGAGTACACCACTATGTAATTTGTACTGATATTTTCATTCGCCAGAGTTTAACTCCTCATTTAGATAGTTCGAAAGTGTTTTCTTGAAATAGTCACGATGTTTTCTGATGGGATTATCCACTTCTGTAGATATAATAAGGATTTTTTCATCTTCTCTTCATCCAAGACCATTTGTCATCTTTTACCTTGTTAACCTAAAAAGTCCGACTGTGCCTCAGATATCTGTGTTTACTTAGCTAATAAAAGAACAAATTGTAATCGGATAAAACTTTCCTCTTGAACAGCTTTCTGGGTAAGAAGTGGAGGTGTTTATTTGGGCAGAAATTCTTCAATTCTGAAAAAAATCATATTAGTATTGATCCCACCTCCAATCAATAATTAGTGATGAATCCAGAGATCTACGGAATACCGTATCTGTGCAGCGATCTATAGATATACAGGGTGGCGCATCGAAAACGAAACAGACGCATTTACTGGCAGCTCAAATAATTGAGCTTAACTGTCACAACTAAATCGTTTAATTGTCTGAATTAAAATTTTAATTGTCCCAACTTTTTTCCCAGTGCACATTCCCCAATCGTCACAAATTTACTGTAAATATTGAGTTTTGCACAAAGCAAGGAAATGATCCATCCTGAATATAAGTCGAGCAGTAACTCACCAAATATTTGTATATTAGGTTCCAAGATTTTTAATAGGCTTCAAAACTACATTAAAGATAGCAAATCAGTTCTTTTAAAAATAGTTTTAAGAATTTTTTTCCAATAAAAATTTTACAGGAGGCGCCCTAGCGGTCATCCGGTTTCAATGGCTGGCCAAGTTCTACCAAAAAGTCATTTATTTAGGCTGGTCCTAGTCCCGATGATCCAGGAACTGATCTGGTACGATGAAATCTTGTCAATAGCGGCGGCTGCTGGGAAAAAGCTGAGCTACCTGGTTTGGTACTTTTCTCCATACAACCTCCTCACTCTGTGCAAGGCCTAGATTAAGGCCTACCCTCCAGTACTGCTCACATATTTGGGGTGCTGCCGCCCCGACTATATCACCCTGCTCGATGCTGTTCAGAGAAGGATTGTCCGATGACGTATTTCTGCAAAATTTGTTGTGGCTTGAATTTGATGAAACGCATTATCTATTCTTTCTTGTTACTGATCAACAGTATTAATTTGATCAGCATACACTAGTTGCTTGAAAACGCCGCACAAAAAGAAATCCAGGGGGTTCATTCAAATCACTACTACGTTAAAATGTATAGCACCGTACGTCATCTTGAATTACGAAGTGTGGTGATTGAATTCACTTTTCTTTGTAGTTTCCCATAGCACTTCCTGGCTTTCTGTCGAACGAAGTCAAATGAAGTCTCTTAAAACGATTGCTCTTTATTGTTATATACTTCCCGGAATTCCGGTAAAGGCTGACATAAGGAATGTCGAGCATCCCGAAATTGTCATGCCATTAGAGCTCGGCAAGGCGTTTCTTCTCCAGCTGTTAAAAAATAAATCGGCACTCGAATAAAATAAAAATATCACCGGCCGGTTATGAGGAAGACGTATGACGAATATGTATATACAGGGTGTTCCTTAATGATATGAGAATATTTAACGGTGTGAATCTACATGAAACATTAAAGTTAGTTTGCTACCATAATACCTGTATTGTTCTTCAGCTGCTCTGCAGTATTTGGTTTTTAGGCGTAAACCCCATTTTTCAAAAATCGACATAATAAAGTCAAAAGCCGTTAAATCCGGTGACCTTATATTTATTGACCACCCTGTAGGTCAAGTTGAACATTGAACTCATTACTATTTCAGTACCACATTTCAAATATGAAACGCTGCCTATACATAAACTAATTCAGTTTCCTTGTGCTGTCAACTTGTTCGTGCTTTATTCATGGCACATTTATAGTGCATATTTCTGGGCTAATTAACGAAATAAGGGCACAAGAAAACGCCCTCATCTGTGGCCAGAAAGTCTGTAATGTCTGAAGTCATAAATTATAATTAGTTGCATCCTATAAGGCACAATATATTTCTTTTTCTTACTGACACCGGCTTTCAGAAACGTTATGCTGTCATAGTCCAAGAGTCGACCTAAAATTTAGGTTACACCGCGTTCAGAGATGATATGATGAAAGCTATACTAAGTGATAGAAAAAAATGACACCCAACAATAATGGCTTTTTTGCAACATGTCTATTAGCGTTAGGTAAGTGAAAAAAACAACGGTTGAAAAGTTGTAAAAAATTAATAACTATGTCTTATGCACTGAGAAACACTTATCTATGTGGTTCAGAAGCTGATCATTTTTTGTCCTAACCTAAACATATAGCTAGAAAGGAGAGAGAGAGATCGAAAAATATTGCTGTTACGAGCATATCATATAACTTGAAAGTTCTATTCGCCTGTAGTTTTCTAAGTCTAAAGGATCACTTTTTTTAATATTAGAATGAAACTAGCTAATTTTAATGCAGATGGAAAAGTGCATTTAATTACTGAAGCACTGATAAGTTCAGCAAGTATTGGTGCAATGATATCAGCATTATCCTTGAATAGCAAAACGGGAATCTCATGATGTTCAGTACTTTTTTATCAGGTAAGTTGTTGATTACATCTAAGAGGGATGTCTTTTAAGTTTTGCATATAGAAACATAGTAGGCTGCGCGGATCGAACGTCAGTACTGAATCTTAGCCTCACTCTTTAGTGAACTTATATTCAAAGTTTCACAACAATACGTGCAGTGTTCTCACTACAGTGAGTTTTTAAGTGTCACCAAGTGATTAGAAAAATGGAACTCAACCGAGAACATTTTCGCGCTATAATTTATTACAACTTTCAGAGACAATTATCACAACAAGAATGCCTTGCTGAGTTACTGTCTGTTTTCGGCAACGAAGCGCCACATCAGTCGATAATTTCCCGTTGGTATGGAGAATTCAAACATGGACAGGTGAGTCTTAGCGACGATCCCAGGGTGGGTCCACTAAAAACGGCAGTCACCCAGGAAAACGTCGATGCTGTGCGCAAACTCATCATTGAAGATAGACATGTGACTTATCGCGAGATTGTCCTAGAAGATCTCAAAGACCTCAATTCAAAAAATTTTACATGAAGAATTAAGAGTAAGAAAAGTAGTTTCTCGTTGGATACCCCACCTGTTGACTGAAGAACAGAAAGCAGTTAGGGTTAATTGGTGTCAAAAAACGCTTGACCGTTTCAATTCCGGAAACTCAAAAAATGTGTACAAGAAAAGCCAACAAAAGTCATCCGTTCTCGAAGTGTTTCGAAAAAGATGGTCGCGACATTTGCGTCAAAAGCGGGTCATACTGCAACAATTCCTCTTAATGAGCAAATAACTGTTACTGCGGATTGGTATACCACCATTTGTTTGCCAAAAGTCATCACCGAGCTTCGCAAAATCAACCCCAAAAGAAGAATCATCCTCCAGCAAGACAATGCAAGCTCGCACACAGCCCAAAAAACAAGGCAGTATTTAACGGAAGAAAACCTGTAATTATTGGACTATCCTCCATATAGTCCCGATCTAAGACCTAACGATTCCTTTACTTTCCCGAAAATTAAAAACAGACTGTGTGGTCAAAGGTTTCAGTCACCAGAAGAAGCAGTTGACGCATTCAAAAATGCCGTTTTAGATCTGCCAAATTGGTTCGAGCCCATGCAGATGTGTATTAATCTTCGTGGAGAATACTTCGAAAAACAATAACAATAACAGGACTGAAAAACATGCTGCTGGTGGTGTTAGATGCAGTAGTACATTCATTGGATATAATAAGCAAATGAGATAACATCTTTCTTTAAATGACACTGGATAAGTATTCACCAAAGTTATTTGCTATTAGTAGATGGCTCGTCATATGTGATACCATCAACGGAGTCACAGTTGATTTTATTATTTCTTCACTTATTTCTTCTGTGCGAATTCGCTATGTTCCATAACGTTTTGTATTTGTTGTATGAGTTGTTAAGCAAGGTACTATAGTAATACTTCTTGAGACATTTACACTTACGTTCGATTTTGACATCATGAATACGTTTTTGCAGCCGGTTCATGTTTTTCAATTTTGTCATTCAGCTCACCTGAAAAAAAGATTTTTCTATTAGCTTTTTTCGTCAAACCAATGGATTTGAGTTGAAAAGTAACTTGGAAATACGGCCAGAAATGTCGTAAAAAGTTTTCAAAGGTGCGTAGAATTATCTGGGCTGGAATTCTATAAATTATTAAATTTTATTAATTATTATTAAAATTACTAGCACTAATAATAAGTGAAATATATTCCATCACCACCCACAGCCCCCAATATCCAATCTATGATGCCTGCATTTTTATGAAAATGGTCAGGTTTCGAATCGTTCTGAAGATTCCAGCAAGGGCAAGAACGAAACATTTTAGAAAGCCTCTTTTTTCCGATGCTAAAGTTTAATCCTAATTATCATACTGGAGGCTCCGCGGCTTAGAAATAAATCTTTCTTATTCTGCCCGCCTCGAAAAAGGAATCTTTAGATCACTCGAACATGATTTTGCATTTTAATTAATGAAGATTAATTATCATCGGCGTCCCGTCTTTTTGGTAGGAGCAGAAAATACAAAGTGGAACCGAGCATAAGAAGTGAGAACGCGAAATACGCTCTGGAATGTTAACATGGTACTAGTGTCACAGGCTTTTAAGATATAGCTAACTTCCACATTTTTTTTATCAGTACTAAGATGGGAATCTGATTTTGAGCACTACTTTTACAAGTGACGAACACCTTGCATTTCCCGTCGATATCCATAGTATGATCCCATTTTAGGATGGCTCTTTTTTGGACTCGCTCGCGCCACTACGATGAAGATTAATGATTTTGTTGTCAATAGGGTCCTAATTTCATCTAAATGCAAATTCCCTATATCAAGGAACTAAAGCTGTTGCCTTCGTTTTGTTACAGGAATGCTGGAAGAACCTGAATTCACAGACGTTATTGAGAACATCACTGCAGCTGCTGGAAGAAACGTCAGATTCGCATGCTCGGTCAAGAATCTTGGAACATATAAGGTAAGTCCATATCATATGGACCACTTTTTGAGATTTTCTTCAAGAAGCAGGCGTTAACGAGGCTCCTACAATCACGGGGTTGAAAAGGAAACGAGGGTGGGCTGGCCCTAGACGGTTGTCGGCGCTACTTTAAAAGAGAAAAGGAAGACAACAAGCTGTAAAGTTCTAGTAAACTCCATCATATACCCAACAAAGTTATCTAGTAAGGCAATAAAAAAGTTTGATGTCCCAGAATTAAAAAATTTAATAATCAGTAACCGAATTTTCTCACTAAAAACCTTTCCTCTACCCATTTGGAAACCTTAACTACACAAAACTATTTTAAACGTATTCTGACAGCTGTGATTAATAAAAACAATTGTCATGGCTTTTATATTTCACAGCCACCTATGCGTTATAGACTTATTTTGCATTGAAATGAAAATAGGTTGATATGCTGTAATTGCAACATGTGTTATTTTTATGCTGCAAATTTGATTAGGGAGTGATAATATATATATTATCAAAATATTCATTGTTAATATTTTAAACCTATAACATCCTGCTACATTTTTATTATTTGTGTTTGATAAGGAAAAAAAGTAAGATTTCAATAGTTGGGCCAATTGAAGTGGGAAGGGGATCGTACACATCAAGGTCAAAATATCCATGTTGATAAATGCATCAACACAGGAATCCCGGTATCCCAGTCCTGCTATCACCCTCACGCATTTTGTTTGTTTTGCGAAAACTCTAGAAGCGTACGAGGAGTGTCCCCACAACAGGATTCCATATACCGCATGGGAGGGAAGGTAGCTATAATAAGCTTGCAAACTGACATTCAAGTAACTATATTGCGAAGGGCAAAGAAACGTCTACCAAGTTTGCTGGTCCATAGGATGGAAGTTTACATTAGAGAGCAGCATGCCATACTGATCGAAAGCTTTCGTGATATCAAGAGCAACGACATGAACCTCACCATAACACTGAATGAGTTACGTGACGGACATTTCCAGTTTTGTGGACAGTACCGGATTCATAAGACGCGAAAGAACTGGAGCACGCTCCGTTGCGCACAACGGTTGCGCATCTCTTCAGTACAATAGCAGAAGACCATAAGTTTTGTTGATATTTCTACTGAAATCGTTCAGAGGCATTGTTTTTTCATCTTCTCATGAAGTTTCTATGGCGTTTTTTTTGCATTTTTAATGGCCATAAAATCGATGAAAAAAACGGGGTGGGAATGCCATCAACGATATTACGATGGCGATGTTTATCGATGCTTTCTGAAAAGTTGCCACCCCTAATTCCAGTGTTTTATTTAATTTTTTTGTTTCTCATTATAAGAGGCAAGAAAAATTCGATTGTCCCCAGTAGTTTCTTTGTCGTCGTAAATTCTCTCATTTCTTCTGTTATCGAAGGAAAAAACCAGAAGCTCATCCAAAGCTTAACGTGTCTGCACCGTACTATCTATTCCAAATTATACGCTGGAACTTTTATCTTATACCCTAGTTTTTCTTGTTGGCGACGTTAAAAAAGTTTTATCTGTCCCACAAAGCACCACACACAGTCGAGCTGAGAATAGGGATTAGATAATTTGTTACAGCGATAAATTACCATGTGTATGTTAAATACCATGTTTGTTCCTCCAACAATATCACGGACATCTGCAGGAACATCTAGAACTCTTCATCGTACTGACTGACATCATTTTGTCATGTTGGCTGTAGCTGTGGACAGCTCAGATGATTTTATTGACGTTCCAGCTGCTACGGCCCGCTTCAATGCATTCAATAAAAGCATATTTTAATTAAATAGTATTTTTTTTTTGAAAATAGACTTTGAATATGCAGTACGCAGTATGAGTCAACTCTTGCACACTGCGTCTGCTGTGAAAGTCCTTGCAAAGTCTGCGAAAATCAAGAGTTCGCTAATTCGGCCTCACAAACAACCTTTCAAATTGCTTCGAAGTGAACTTAAAATACTATTCAGGTCTTTTAACTTTAAAAAATTATAAATTTTAACCGAGTTTTCAAGCACTGAATATACCCATTTTCAGGGGTTTTCAGATATAAAATCGCTTATAACTCGAAAATCTTTTGTTTTTTATACTCCAACTACCACGAAGGTCTAAGGCCGAAACACCCATTGGGAACTCGTATCGTGGGGCTAGATGAATATTAGAAAAGGTTCGACTATCTGGCAAAGCACGATCGGGATATCTCTGGTGATAAATCCGTCTGGCTTGCTCACCATTACCGTAGGCAAAGCCATGCACGTCATGCATTTCCGCCATTCCTGCATTTGAATAATTCACCATTATTAACAAGATTGTAAAAACTAAATAAAAAATGAATGAAAAAGATGTCACAGCGAACAGATTTGGATAACAGAGACTTGTCAGATGTCAAACGCCAGTGTCATATTCCAGAGCAACTAGATATTTATTGCTAAATTGCGTTCTTCAATTATTACATTAATTTTCTCGGACAATAGAACGGTATTTAGTTTTTGTTCCTTAAATATTCGCATATCATTAAGGAACACCCTGTATACAACGTTGTTATCAATAATCAGGTCAATATTTCAGCTTAGTCTTTAGGAGACAAATGACAAAAGTAAACAAGGGAATGACAGCGTACAGTTATAAAATTTCGAAAATTTTGTGCCTCAGTACTGAGTCAATGTACTTGAATCCTTTTTTTTGTTCTTACCATTCGTATTATCGTCTCAAGGTCACCTCGGGATTAAAATCTCTGGTATTTTTAGCCATTTTTTCCAACAAACGTCCTGATTCAAGAACAGATGAGAAAATTCACGGCCATGAGACTAACTTGCCAAAGAAACTACTCAGAACAATCGTTAGCAAAAAAATCTTCTAGCTTCTTAGAACGGTTCACAGAAAATTAAATGAAACATCTTTTATTCATAAAGCATTCCAGAAGTAAAAAGCGACTTTCAATCATCCCTTTTCATTAGAAAAACAGTGTCGTTTTCTTGAAGGCTGGTGATGTATTAAAAAAGTGATGTCGCCAGATATTCTAACCAGTTGCTGAAATTGGACAGGCTTGATAAGTTTCACATACAGATGAAATAGTTTTCTGGAATAATAGACCAGGACTAATACTACTTTCGTTCGTCCAACCAACATAGGTTTAACCAGTCTAATCAGTCGGACCCGTTCACAATGCCAGACAGACCCGCCTGACTACGGCCTCCCATCTTAACCGTGTCGAACTTTATACATTCAGAATTGAAAACTTAACCTTAAAGAATAAAAGTTGACGTCGGTGAGGCTTAAGGCCATCAGTGAATCCCTTGCTCAAAGTTAGTAAACACTCGGCTTCGCAAAACAAAGGTTGACTTAGGTGAGGCTCAAGGTCAAATACAAGGTCATCATTGAACAACTTGTTCAAAGTTAGTAAAAACCAGCCTTAAAAATAAAGGTTAGCCTAGTTGGGTATCAAGGTCAAATCCAAGATCATTATTGAATGTTCAATGTTACTAAATACCTGACAAAGGTTGAGGTAAGTGACGCTCGGGGACAAATCCAATTTCATCATTGAACCCCTTGTTCAAGGCTAGTAAGAACCCTTGACTTTAGAGAACAAAAGTTCTCCTAAGTGACGCTCAAGGTCAGAGCCAAGGTCG